AAAAAATGTAAAAAAAATAGAGTACCTACTATATTTAAAATATATTAAAAGGATTTTTTAGTTCAATTTAAGAGTTTTAAAATGAACTGGTGGTGTATATACATAGAAAATGAAACAACTGGAAAACTTAGGTAATTAATAATTTCAAGAAAAATTAAAAAGTTAAATGGTTCTTGATCATTGTGATAATTACATGGGTGTGTTCACTTTGTGAAAAATCATCAGATTATACATTTTGTTTTGGGCACCTTCTCTATGTGCATAAGTATGTCAGTGAAAAACTTTCCTAAAATAAAGTATAAATTTCCTAGCTCTAGCCATAGAAATGGCCTAGAAACAACAAAACTTATTTGAGGAAAAAAGTATATAGTACCTATGTGACTCTGGTATATATAACATTTGGTTAGTCATAATAATATAAACAATGGATATGATTAACCAAAAATTGTGATATAACTATACTGAGAGGTAAAAACTGAGGGAAAGATGGGAGTGTAAAAAATGGTTAAATCCACATCCTTTTTAACAGAGATTCAGTATAATTTTTAAATCTAAAAAAGCAGAAAAACCTACATAAACAAATTACCTAGAAATGGAGGGTGGGGGGGTGTTTAAAAGCAACATTTAGCTAAGGAGCTGACAATGATTCCCTTTGGGAACTGAGAACTGAAAATGAAGTATGGTAGGGCAGGCGGGGGTTGGCTATATATCTTTATAAGCCTTGAAATGATCTGACTTCTTAAACTGTGTATATGTATTAACTTGAGGAAAATAAAAATCCCATTTAAAAAGAGAGAGTTTTAGCCCTGGATGGTTGGTCTCAGCAGTTAGAGCGTCGGCTGGTGGACCAGAGAGTCTTGGGTTCGGTTCCCAATAAGGTATGTACCTCCATTGCAGTTTGTCCCTAGCCCTGGTTGGGGTTGTGTGGGTGGCAACCAGTCGATGTGTCTCTCTCACACCGATGTTTCTCTCTCTCTTCCTCCCTCTCTCCCTCCCACTCTATTTGAAGATAAATGCAAAAAAGTCCTCGGGTGAGGATAAAAACAAAGTTAAATAAATAAAAAGAGACAGTTTTAAAAAGAAAAAGATTACGGCTCTATCAAAAGTGACATGGCATCTTAAACTCTATCTATCTATCTATCTATCTATCTATCTATCTATCTATCTATCTATCTATCTATTGACTATTACAGATGTCCCTCATTTCACCCTCCTTTTGTCCCCATCCACCAGCCCCAGACCCACCTCAGGCCTTGACCACATCATTACCTGTGTCCATGGGCTATGCATATATGCATACAAGTTCTTTGGTTAATCTCCTCCTTCCTCCCCTCTGAGTTCTGTCAGTCTGTTCCATGCATCCATGCCTCTGGACCTATTTTGTTCATCAGTTTATTTTGTGTAATATTAGATTCCACAAATAAGTGAGATTGTGTGATATTTGTCTTTTTCTGACTGGCTTATATTGCTTAGTATAATACTCTCCAGGTCCATCCATGCTGTCACAAAGGATAAGAGATCCTTCTTTTTTTACAGCCGCAAAGTATTCCATTGTATAAACATACCACAGCTTTTTATCCACTCATCTACTGATGGACACCTAAGCTGTTTCCAGACCTTAGCTATTGTAAATAATGCTGTTATGAACTGAACACAGGGGTGTATATATTCTTTCTGATTGGTGTTGAAATCAGAATATATTCCCAGAAGCAGGATCGCTGGGTCCAACAGCATTCCATTTTTAATTTTTTGAGGAAACTCTACACTATTTTCCATAGTAGCTGCACCAGTCTGTATTCCCACCAGCAGTGTACTAGGGTTCCCTTTTGTTCACATCCTCACCAGCAATTGATGTTTGTTGATTTATTGATGGTAGCCATTCTGGTATGTATGAGGTTACACTTTATTGTAGTTTTAATTTGTATCTAATGATTAGTGACATTGAGCATTTTTTCACATCTGTTGGCCATCTGTATGTCCTCCTTGGAGAAGTGCCTATTCAGGTCCTTGCCGGTTTTAATTGGATTATTTGTCTTCTTTTTGTTGAGTTGTATGAGTTATTTATATATTTTGAAAATTAATCCCTTATCAGATGTATCAGTGGCAAAGATTTTCCCCTATACACCGTGCTCCCTTCTTATTTTGATGTTGGTTTCTTTTGCTGTGCAGAAGCTTTTTGGTTTGCTGTAGTCCCATTTGTTTATTTTTTTTCCTTTGTTTCCCTTGTCCTAGATGTACTGGCAAAAATTCTGCTACATGAGATGTCAGATTTTACTGCTTATGTTTTCTTCCAGGATTTTTATGGTTCATGACTTACATTTAAGTCTTTTATCCATTTTGAGATTATTCTTGTGTATGGTGTAAGTGGGTAGTGTAGTTTCATTTTTAATTGTATATTGTCCATCTCCCCTCAGACAGTAAATTAGTCAAGGATAGGTATTATTGAATATACACTACAGTATTTAAAACTTTGCATATAGTAAGAATCAGTAATTATTTGACAAGATGTCAGTCCTTTAAAACCCAAGGAATATTGTCAGGACATTGGTTTAATTTTGTTTATGTAATGCAGGCATCATTTTTATAACATCCTCAACTGGGTCATCATTCAAGAATATCTTGAACATCTCCAGTGATGGCAAGCTTATCTCATAAAGCAGCTCATTCCATCTCGGGACAGCTCTACTTGTCTGAAGAGTCTTCTTTACATTAAATTAAACCTTTCTTCATGTAATTTCCACTCACTGCCCTTCGGAATTATGCCAAGTAAGTGGAATTCCTTTTATATAGACCTACACATTTAAAAAAATAGTTGTAGATATTTCCTATATCTTCTCTTTTGCAGGACAAATATTTCCATTTCTTTGAATAAGTCTCCATTTACTATGTATGGTCTTCCAATCTCAATCTTTTCATAAATGTTTGTAAATTCCTAATTCATGACTTTTCATCTTAAAATATCACACTCAAAACTTAACACACTCCCACTCCCATTTGCTTTGACTAGCAGTCAGTGGAACAAATACCTTTCTTAATCAATCTAGGTATCACACCATTATTCATGAGAGCATAATAACTATTCTCATAGTTCTGATAAAAAGTTTGTATTTAATTAAAATCTCCAGTAATTTTCACTGTGGCTAAAGGATATGCACATTTTGAAGACTTGTGAAATATGTGCTGCACTCTGCAACTGTAGGACAGGTGTACCAACTGCTCTGAATGCAAGGACCTTCCATTCCACAGATGTGAATTGTTTTCTAAACTAGGTGAATATTTTATATCTACCTTAGTTAAACATATTGCTGTTACTTTTAGTACAGTGTTCCATCTTATTTTAATCTTTCAATCCCAGCTGTCTATTTAAACTTAATACAGATCTCTCCAAATTTGGTGCCATCAACATATTTGAAAAGCATGCCTTTGTGACAACATCTAACTCACTGATAAAAAGATTTGCATGAACATATTAAAGCCGAGTCCCATAGCATAACAGCATATCATCAGAGTCCTTTTCCTCTGATTGACTTTGATATATGTATGGTTCGATGAGCTATTTTTAGCTCCCTTAACAGCTTCTTAGCTGCAAAATATCATGAAGGGCATTTTAAAATGCCTTACTAAAGTCAAGTTGCTGTGTGAAAATTAAGTTGTTTTTTTTTTTTAATTTTTATTATTATTTTTGGTATGTGCCCCTACCGGGAACCGAACCCAGGACTCTCTGGTCCACAGGCTGACGCTCCAAACGCTGAGCCAAACTGGCCAGGGCAAGTGTTTTATTTAACAAAAATTTCTTTTTATTCACACACACACAAACATCACATATATAAATTATGCACATCAACTTGATCCTATGGATGACTACCCACACAGGGTGTGAATCAATGTCAATGTTATCAGTGACCCCAAAATAAGATTTTATATTAATATATTCTCATGTTTGTGAAAATATCACTTAATATAAATTCTGTTCTAAGACAGTCTGGATATCTTTGCAAAGGAAAGCTAAGAATGAGAAACCAGCAAAATCAGACCAAGAACAGGTTTTCATACATATGCAATAGATAAGAAAACAAAACTATGTCAAATAATGTGGTCATCAATCCAGAAGCCTCAGACATTTTAAGATAAATTCAACATTATCTATATTGCTTAAAGCTCTCATGTGAAAGCGTCCCTGTCACTATACTTATTTTAATTAAATTATGTATTTTTAGCAAAATGAGTATATTTTTAACATTGTATAGAACAAATTAACTGGGAACAGTATCTTTAGTAATAAGGGCACTTTCAGGGTACCCTTTCAATTTTTTTGTAGCTTTTTTTTTTTTTTAATCCTCACCCAAGGACATTTTTCCATTTTTTGTTCAGATAGAGTGGGAGGAAGAGAGAGAGAGAGAGAAAGAGAGAGAGAGAGAGAGAGAGAGAGAAACATCGACGTGAAAGGGACACATCGAGTGGTTGCCACCCGTTCAACCCAACCAGGGCTGGGGACAAACTGCAACTGAGGTACGTGCCCTTAGTGGGAACCGAACTGGGGTCTCTCTGGACCGCAGGCCAACGATCTAACCTCTGAGCCAAACCAGCCAGGGCTACCCTTTCAATTTTAAAGTTGAAGATATTGTCAAATCAAATCTTCCATTCTAAGATATATCTTCCCATATCAAGAAAAATCTATTATTATGTCGCAGTGTCATGACACAAAACATTATTTGGGGGCAGCTGTATCTCTGTATCACTGCTTCCTCAGGTACCTCACTCAACTGAATGGACTCAGAGTGGCCCCACATCATGCAAAGTAATTTATAAATTATTTGACATTATTTTTTCTATCTTAGTGATGTTTATGAGGAAATTCTCATTGCTTTTTCTAATTTTTTAACCTCTTTTCAGAAAAGCAGAAGATTTTTCTGGGAGAAAGGTATAGCTATGTGAAGCCAACTGCTCCAGGGAAAAATATAAACTTTTCTTTGCTAAACACAACCATTTTTGCTTTTTAGGAGGAAAGGCAAGATGAAGGACCGACTTCAAGAACTAAAGCAGCGAACAAAGGAACTTGAACTCTCTAGAGACAGGCATGTGTCAACTGCAGAAGCAGAGGAACAAGGAATGATTCTGCAGCAAGCAGTTATTTATGAAAGAGAGCCTGTAGCTGAAAGACACCTACATGAGATCCAAACACTACAGGAGAGTATTAACAATTTGACAGACGATGTTCAAAAATTTGGGCAGCAACAGAAAAGTCTGGTGGCTTCAATGAGAAGGTTTAGTCTACTTAAGAAAGAGTCGAGCATTGCAAAGGAGATAAAAATTCAAGCAGAACACGTTAAGAGAGGTTTGGATGATTTAGTAAAAGAAGCTAAAAAATCAGAGGCTGAAAATGGTCCATCATCAGTGGTCACAAGGATACTTCAATCTCAGCATGCTGCCATGTTCCGCCATTTTCAACAAACAATGTTGATATACAATGACACGATAGCAGCAAAGCAAGAGAAGTGCAAGACATTTATTCTCCGTCAGCTTGAAGTGGCTGGAAAGGAAGTACCTGAAGAAGAAGTAGAGGACATGCTCCAACAAGGAAAATGGGAAGTTTTTAATGAAAGCTTGCTGGCAGAAACCAATATCACTAAAGCACAACTCTCAGAGATTGAACAGAGACACAGAGAACTTGTCAACTTGGAGAATCAAGTAAAGGACTTAAGGGAGCTTTTCATTCAGATATCTCTTTTAGTAGAGGAACAAGGTGAAAGCATCAACAATATTGAAATGATAGTGAATGGTACAAAAGAGTATGTTAACACTACTAAAGAGAAATTTGGACTAGCTGTAAAATACAGAAAAAGAAATCCTTGCAGGGTACTGTGTTGTTGGTGTTGTCCATGCTGTAGCTCCAAATAAAGAAGCTGTTCTAGAAATTTCTCCAGCTTTAGAATGAAGGATGCCCAGTATTTCAGTGTCTTGTTTTTCTTCATTTCACGGGTTCATTCACATACCTTTCATCACTATTAAGTGACAATCCTCCACTTCAGCCCTTACCCACTAGAATTACATAAGCATCTGAAGCCAGTGACATGAAAAGTTGTCATTTACTAAACTAAAAACAGCATGCTTAGCTGTTGAAAATGAGGTGAGTGATCTTGAGTTTCGAATCAGGTATGAAGCTCTATTAAATATTTTTGTAATTTCCAATGCTAACTTCAAAAGACAAATGTCAATAAGTGACAAGTACTTCAACAATTTTTTGGTGCATTTGAGAATATTTTGGTAGTTAAGAATTGTATAAAGTAAGATCTCAAAGGGTGCTACATTCAAGCAAAAGTAAACCGGAAGCTGTATCAAATCTTTTATGCTCAGATATAGCAGAAAACTCAGTAGTAAAGAAATCCTGATAAAATCCCACTGTGTACTTGATGAAGACTCTGGTTGCTAACGAGGAGCTAAATCTAGTTTAAGGCTTAAGAAGGTAAATTAAGGTATTGTTTTCCTGAACTTGGGTCCATTTAGGACATACAGATCAGGAGAGTTGGCAAATAAAGTAAAAAATAAAGGTAACTGTATTCTTGAAAGTTTCTTCATCACTATTTTGTAAAGCCAGGCACTATACTATGGGCTAGGGATATAGTTGGAACTCAAAAAAGAGATAAAAGATTGTAACTCACATTTTAGTAAAGAAAACAGATAACAAACAAATATAAATATCCAACCATGTTAAGTTCTTGGCAGACTTAAAATGAGGATATAATGAGACAGAGGCTATCAGGGTGGCTTCTGTTGGTCCGTCAATGAAGGCCTCTCTAAAAAGTAATATTAAGTGAAAATCTAAATGATGAGGACAAGGGATGGTATATTCCAGGCAAAGGATACAAACAGTAGAAAGACCCTGAGGAGGGTGCAACTTATTCTGTTCAAAGAAAAATGAATAGTACAGCTATATTATAGTGGCAAAAGAGCAGTGAGGGAAGACATAAAATTAATTAAGATCAGCAGTGGCTAGAGTGAAGCTCTTGTAAGCCATTAAGTCTGACGTTTACAGCAAGTATAATCCATGGAAAGCTCCCTCTGAATAATGTTATATATTTTGGCCTCTGAATAATGTTATATAATTTATATGTGAGAAAAATCATTCTGTCTACTATATGCAGAGTGGGTTAGAATGGATTTGGGGCAGGTATGTGGAAGATAAGCATACAGGTATAGAAGACAATCAGGTTAATGAAGTCCTCCCAGTAAGCGATGATGAAGGCTCGGACTAGGATGGGAATGGAGGTGGAGATGGTTGTAGCAGCAGTACTCATACTCAAGATTAATGAAATACTTGCTACATTCCAGCAAAGTTCTAATAATTTTACAAGTTCACCAACAAGAACACTGGGATATACAGCAAGGTTAAGCAACCTGGCCCAGGTCACAGAAACTGTGTCTAGAGAATGAGGATTGAACCCAGGCAGTATGATTCTACAATCAGCTCTTAACTACTATATACTAAACAGCAGTGATTTTTTTAAAAAAGGGGAGGAAGATGGCAGCTGGCAGGACCTGAGGGAGGGTGAGTGTGTGAGAGAGTGAGCGAGTGTGTGAGAGAGCGTGAGTGGACACAGGAAGGTGGACGACCAAACCCATGCAGTGCAGAGACATGGAGCAGAAGGTTCCTGGATGGGAGCAGCCAGGTACCTCGGTAAGCAGCCCTTCAGGGCCTTTCTCCCTGCACCCTGGAGAGGTCCCACCATTTTGGAAGATCTTGAGTCTTCCCTGGGAGGAGGCAGTGGGAGTGGCTAGGGCCCAGCAACCTGAGCCCACCAGCTCACCTGGCACCATCAGACCAGTGGACACTCTGTGTCAACACAGACCAGTGCACAGTAGTGGAGCTCCCAAGGTGCTGGTCACAGAAGACGCAGACAGCCGGGAGCCCAGCACCATCCCCCATAGTAGCAGCCCGATCAGAGTTGAGATATACCCCCAGCAACAGAGGCTGGGGAGCAAACATCCATCCCCAGGCAACAGAAACATAGACCAGCAGCTGACACCCATCCCTAAAAACTACAGCAAAAGCGGAGCAGGAGCTGAGCTCCACTGGGCAGCAGCACTCCCCAGCCGCCAGCAGAGGCCTGAGCGGTCCAGTAGCTCACAAGTGCAGTGGGAAGCCAGAGCCCTAGAGAGACTGGTGCAATCCAGCTGCCCACCCTTGGGAACTGCAGGGTGCTGTAGCACCAGAGAGGCCTGTGCGACCCAGCAGGGACTGTGCAATCCAGTTACCCTAGGGACCTGCGGGGTGCTGAAGGTCCAGAGAGGCCTGTGCGAGCCAGCAGCCCATAACACAGTCATAGAGCCTGGTCCCCAAAGGGACTGTGCAATCCTGGTACCTGTGGGACCTGCAGGGTGTGGGGGCACCACAGAGGCCTGTGTGAGCCAGCTGCACACAAGACAGGCAAGAGGATGTGAAAAATGGAGGCGGAGTGAATAGAAGCTACACAGATAATCTCCCAGGACCAAACAGGAATTACAAATAAAATAAAGACAAATCCTCGGAAAAAAGCAACAGAAAAGCAGCAGGAAAGGACCAATAAACAGGGACACAGGGAGGATCTGCGGAGGGGCGAGAGGGTGGTAGGCTGAGAGCCCATGGACAATAGCAGTCTTAGCTGTGAGCAGCTCCCTTGGGGAATAAAGACCAAGCCCACTCCACAGCCCAGAGAGCCAGGACAGAGCACTAAAAAAGCCACTTACCTGGGGGCTATGGCAGAGGGAGGGCAGACTGAGCTGAAACTCTGTGGGGACACTTGGAATTTGGAGGGCACTCAGAGTGTTTGCTGAATTGCGGCCACAAAGGACAGTGGCCAGTGTGCTCCTTCCCCAAGCTGTGGGGAAAAGCAGCAGCCCCCCACCCTTGGAGATTCAGCCTTTCCCAGGTGAGGCAAAGAAATACAAATTGAGGGTCATTAACAACCAGCATCTATCCCACCCTCTGGAAATCCTCTTATGCAGAGCAACAGGGCTACATTCCAAGGCACAGAGTAACTGAGACTACTAGCCACCAGGATAAAGCTAGAGGATAACTGAACATTTCCTGGGCTTGCAAATCTACCCAGGGAAGTAAGACTCGGCAGTGGTGTTTAATGTGGGCCCACCCAGGCTCATCCAAACCCAGTAGAGGGAGCCACAAACAGCAGAATACCAACACCCACAGGGAAAAGTTGGCAGGCTCCAAAACCCACTGAGATAGACAAAATGGTGAAACAAAGAAACAAATCCCAAATGAAAGAAAAAGAGAACTCTATTGAAGATGAGATAAATGAAATGCAGCTAAGCAAATTATAAGAGGTAGAGTTCAGAACCATGATATTGAGGAAGCTCAACAGCATGAGTAAGGACATCAGCACCATGAGTTAAGATATAGAAACACTGAAAACCAGCCAAGTGGAAATGAAGTATGACATAGCAGAAATTAAGAACACATCAGAAGGACTAACCAGCAGACTAGAGGAAGCTGAGGACCGGATCAGTGAATTAGAAGACAGGGTACAAAAAATCAACCAATCAGAAAACCAAAAGGAAAAAGTAATTAAAAAATAGGAAGACAGCTTAAGACAACTGTGGGACAAATGGAAATGTAATAATATTCGCATCATAGGAGACCCCAAAGAGGAAGAAAATGAGCAAGAGTTAGAGAATATAATGAAGAAATAGTGACGAAAAACTTTCCTAACTTGGTGAAGGAAGAAGGCATTCAAGTTCAAGAAGCACAAAGAGCCCCAACTAGGAAGAACCCAAACAGGCCCACACCAAGACACACAGTAATTAAAATGCCAAAAATTAAAGACAAAGAGAGAACCCTAAAGGCAGCAAGAGATAAGAAACAGGTTACCTACAAAGAAAATCCCATAAGGCTCTTAGTGGACTTCTCAATAGAAACACTACAGGCCAGAAGGGAATAGCATGTTTTAATGAAGGTCATGAATCCAAGGCTACTCTATCCAGCAGGGCTACCATTCAAAATAGAAGGTCAAATAAAGAGCTTCCCAGACCAAAAAAAAAAAAAGGCTAAGGGAATACATTAACACCAAACCAGCACTGTAAGATATGCAAAAAGGACTGCTGTAATTAGTAGCAGAACTAGGAAGAAAAATAGAACCACACTAAACAAAAATCGCAATGAATAAGTACATATCAATTATCACCTTAAATGTGAATGGTTTGAATACTCCCATAAAAAGATACAGAGTAGCTGACTGGATATAAAAGCATGACTAACACATATGTTGTTTCCAAGAAACCCACCTCACATCAAAAGACTCATATAGGTTAAAAGTGAAGGGATGGGAAAAAATCTTTCAAGCAAACGGAAAGCACAAAAAAGCTGGGGTAGCAATACTCATATCTGATAACGTAGATTTCAAAATGAAGACCATAAATAGAGACAAAAAAGGCCACTACATAATATTGAAAGGATCTATCCAACAGAAAGATATAACTTTGGTAAACATATATGCACCCAATATAAGAGCACCAAAATATATTAAAAATCTTCAGGAGGACTTCAAAAGAGAAATTAACAGCAATACAATCATAGCAGGGGACTTCAATACCCTACTGACATCACTGGATAGATCTTCTAGACAAAAAATTAACAAGGAAACACAGACTCTAAATAAATTTGATGAAGCGCTACATCAAATGGATTTAATAGATATCTACAGAGAATTACACCCCAAAACTACAGAATTCACATTCTTCTCAAGTGCACAGGGGACATTCTCAAAGATAGACCACATGTTAGGACACAAACTGAGTCTTTACAAGTTCAAGAAGACTGAAATCATATCAAGCATCTTCTCAGATCACAATGGCATGAAACTAGAAATCAATTGCAACAAGAACATGCAAAGACATTTGAAACCCTGGAGGCTAAAG